GCTGGAGGGGGAGCTCATGCCACTACTTCCAATCATGACCAGTTCTGCCATGTGCCAGCTCCGTGCACAACTCCGACTTTTGTAAGAGTCCCTGAGCTCAAAGGCTGGTCCAGGGAGCCGCGGAAGCACCTCCTGGCTTCCTCCTGGGCCTGTTCACTCTGGGACTCACTCTGCACTCTGTCACGTTACCAATGACTACACACACTGGTTCGCTTGTCTGCCACCCCAAAGACCTAGGGGCCACTGCTTACTCATTTCCTTGTCTCTAGCAACTAGCCTGGGCCTGGCACCAAAAGGTGCTCAATCAATGTCTGTGGCTTGAATGACTTCACTGCTAGACTCTGTGGCTGAAGGCAGAGTGTGCTGTGAGTCCAGGCCTTTCTCCCAGAACCTCACTTTCTCCCAGAACCTCCCATACCCAGTGGTGATGAAATACTATGAGTTTCTAATCCCTACTGCAGCCTGGCAACATTGCTAGACCTGGCCAGGCACTTTCCTGTTTGATGAACTTAATACCATAGAAGACTACTAGTACACAGATGTACTTAAACTCTGCAAATACACAGAAAAACACAAAGGACTCATGCAGCACTGGTGGTGTGGAAAATCAGACAATGCACGTTAGGGTGCAGCCTGGTAGGTGAGCGCCCCCGGAAGGAGGCTGCAGGGATGCTGGGTCAATGGCTCCTGGGCCATGGGCTTCTGAGTCGGGGGGTACCCTCCATCAGGAAGCTATCCAGGGACAGGTGAGGCCCAGCTGCGGTCACTGGCAGGTGGCCCCCTTGGCCTTTCCCATGGGCGTCCTGCCTGGTCTTCAGGCTCGTCAGTGGCCACCACACCTAAGCCTCTGGCTTTTTACTGCTAAGGCCATAGACCTAATCTTTTTGCCTGCAAAGTCCATTCCCTCCAACCAATGAAAGCCACTTTCAGGGAAGTCCCCTAGTTCCTGCTTCCAAGTAGAAATCCTGGGCTTTCCCTGGGCTGTGAAGGCACCTTCCCCTGAAGAGGGGCAGTGGGCGAGTCACATCCTGGCACTCAGCCAGTGTCTGGCACGTGGCACATCTGCAGTCATGAGGAGTCACAAGAGAAGTCACTATGAGGCGAGGTCAGACTCACATGGAGAAATCCTGACTCTGGAATTGCACACTCCGCTTTGATGTGTAGAAGGCTATCATTACCTCCATTTTGCAGATGAGAAAACTGAGGCTCAGCTAGGACTTCTTTAAGACCCCAAAGTTAGCTCTTGCCCTAGTCCCACCCAGTCCTTGCATTCAAGCTGCCTCCAGGGTGGTGAGGGCCGGCAGTTCACTGCCATGGGCAAGAGTAATAGCAGGTTGCCTGGTCCACGTGGGGCTCTCGGGTGGCCTGCTCCCTTCTTCTGGGCTATCCCTCGCCTTGCTGAGTTGCCCGAACTCATACTTTCTAGCCTCTCATTCTCACTGTTTCTGCAAATCTGGGGCCACCCTCTATCCTGGATTCCAAACCATGGCAGGCCCTCCCTCTTAGGCTGAGGGGTCCAGGAGGCTAGAAGGGGGCTCTACCTGAGTCCTCCGCCCCACCCTGTCCCCACAGCTGACCTGAGCTGAGGCAGGAGGAAGGATGCAGGTCTCAAATTAGGGCTTAAAAGCTGGGCTATAGCCACACACATCTTAATTGGTGCATTTCTACTTTCTCTGTGGGCATGTTCCCTTTATGATGGACTCTCACAAACACTTTCCTGTTATATTTCTTGTAATACTGCCTGGAACTATTATTTAGACATCATAAAAAAATCATTATATTTTTTAAAGAAAGGCTGAGAAGTTTCCACAAAGGAGAATACAAAAAGCTCCGGCACACAAACACACACATATAAGCCGATTCACACAAAATACACATGCATGCGAGTTCAGCCCGACAGAAAAGAGAAGTTTATTACCACACCACTTTGCAAAATAGAAGTGAATGAATAATTTATAGGGCTTTATACAAACATCTAGATTTTCAAATCATTCTAGAAAAATCTGGTTCGATTACTTACAACAGCAGCTCTGTGATAAACCAACCCAGAAATGGTTACCGATAAATAAAGTTTACAGTTCCCAGGGGGCCTGCTGCCCCAGAAATGCATCCTACCCATTAACTTCTCTTTCCTTTAACACACCAGACCCCACAGGCCTGGGCGCTCACTCGCCGAAGGCGCTGTGTGTGATAAATCCTGAGCCCTTTACTGTGGCAAGGCGTCTGAGTTCCTGTTTAGATGATATTTCCCATTTTATTTTGGCAAGAACTTCATTATACTGAGCTCTGTGCTGCCAGGCACCTGAATTGAGGCTGCGCTGCTCTGGTCCTTGGGACCCCCAAGATGACAGGGTGCAGCGAGCGGGCCAGGGGCTGGCGGGGCCTGTGCTCGAACCCCTAATGCACCAGTCACAGGCTGGCACAACATCTGGCCGACTTAAGGGTCTGAGAGCCAGTCCTGACAACTCCACTGTGTCCCAGGCCACCCTTTTTGCCCGGGTGTCCCTCTGACCTGTGGGCAGCCTGACTTTTGTTTTGAAGGCAGGCCTCCAGCTGACCCTCGGAAGGCGAGGGACCTCCCGGGGGCTGGGACAGCGGGGCTGCCACCTGCTCAGCCTGCACCCGGCTCCTGGCCCCATGCTAAGCCCTGGAGGGGTGACTGATCGTTACACACTGTACTGCGAGAGTCCAGGCTCCACAGGAAGAAACCTCACTGGTGATAAGTAATGGCTCAGACTCAAGCCTGTTAGCTACAGCAACCAAGGCAGGACAATCAGCAGAACTCAGGATGCATAAAAGGAATGTCATCCAAGGCAGGACAGACTGCCTCACTACAGTTTGTGTGAGACAGAGAGAGGGAGAGAGAGAGACAGAAGGAGAGAGGGGAGGTGCGTTTACGCTTTAGGATACAAAGCCAAACAATGGCTACAGAAAGTGGCAATTTATCAATTGCTGTGGGGGTAATTTATTGCAATCACTGTGGCCGTCACATGCTTAGTAATAATTCTCTCTGCATTTTGTGCCAACAAAGGCTTCCTGGCTGTCTTTACTTGCTAGTCAGTGCACATGGTGGGGTGACAGGAGACAGCACTGTCCCAGGCAGAGCACACTGGCCCCTGCCTGTGGCTGGGGGCTTGCCCACTGGACTGGAGGCCACACCCAGAGCACAAAGGGAGGCTAGCGGTTTGGAGGCTTTTGTATTATTAACGTAAATTAAGCCAAATTCAGTCTTAGGACAAGTATTCGATTGTTTTCAACTTGTCTGAAACTGGTGATCTTGGAAAATAGTAGCTCTGAGTAACCCTAGGCATTTGATAACCAGAATATATACCACAAGCTCCAGACAGGTTTACTCTGTTATTACAATAGAACAGGGTCCACGTGGTTCTCTGCCTGCTGGGGCCCCCATGTAGTCTCTTCTGCTAGACAGAAACCTCCTGTGGGCAGAGGTGGTCTTAATCCCCCCGGAGTCCAGCACAGTCCAGTGTGTGCACTGGCTCTTGAGCTCATCTTCCACCCTCTCCTTCTGGTCCCTGCTGCTCCCCACTTCTGCCAATGCTGTTACCTCCACCTCAAGTCTTGGCATCCTCCTGACCATCCAAACCCCCCTTCCTTGAAGAGCCAGCCTGAGTCTTGGGCACTTAGGCACTCCCCAGCCTCCAGAGGCCCACAACCAGCTCCCCTTGTCTGAATTCAGAGAAGCACCTGTGCTCGCTGGTGGATCTAGTTAGACAGACCTGGGTATGAATTCAGGTTTGGCCATGCACCAGCCCTGTGACCTTGGGCAGGTGACTTTCCTTCGTTGTCATGATTAAGTAAAACAATGAACTTGAAAACTCCCAAACCCACCCCTTACAACTCTCTCGTTTACACATTTGCTGTGCTCTGCTCCGAGCCTAGACTCTCATCTGCTGCCTGCTCGAGTTTCGTATCATCACTCAGCTTCCCAGTCAAACTCTAAGCTCCCGGAGCGCAGGGGCCTGCGTGGCCTCCGCAGCTATGTGTCTACACAATCCTGCAGAGTGCTCTGCTCACTGGGAGGCTGGCAGATGCCTGCTGAGCCAGTGGGCTCAGGCAGCGAGCACTGATCACTGGGTTCCTATCGAAGCTTCTGGGTGGTCTGATCCCCTTGTTTGTGCAGTCAGGAAACCACACCTCCTTCTGCTAGTGGACCAGAGCTCCAAGCACACCCTACGGTTCCTGGAGTCACCCAAGCCTGTGGTGACTCCGTCCCCTGGGGTTCTCACTGAGCCTTTAGCTCTGCCCTGAGCTTCCCCCAATCCTAGGAACCCCCTTCCCACCCCACAGACAGCCATGCCACGTCAGAATGTTCCAGAAGAGTTGTAAAGGCTGTGGGAGGATTAAGCAGCCAAGCGAGAACTCAGAGGAGCAGAGCTGGCCCCGCCTCTGACCTCCAGCCTCCCGAACCAGGAAGGCCAGACGGCGGGGCTTTCCCAGTGGAAGCACCCCAACGCCCATCATCTTCCCCTGTCCTTCCCTTCCAGTGCCAGGTGCCACATGCCTGGAGCCATCTCCATGACCAGCCAGAGCCTCCTGCCCTGCTCAGGCCCACACCCAGGCTGTGGTTCATTTGCTGGAAGTGGTGACTGACCCCTCACCCTCGCCCTGCTGTGTCGAGTGCACAACTACGACCCATGTGCAGGCCTGACGGTCACCCAGAAAGCCTCAGCACGGCCCCTAGGGCTCCAAAAGGCCCACTGTGCTGATGGCCACCACATAGATCAGATGCTATGGTAACAGGAAGGGTCATTCCGTCAGATGCTAGCACGCTGGCTTTGGTGGCTTTGGGAGACCTGCTGTCCTCACAGAAACTGAGCCGACTCCCCACCACCACCACGAAAAGCTTCTCAGTTTAATCTCCTAATCTGCTAGCTCCAGAAGGCTTCAAAATGTACTGTTTGCTCAGGTCCACCTGGCTCTCAGGAAGCGGAAGAGACGAGAATAAGCTACCGCGTAACAGCAGGACAGTTAGTGCTCACCTGTTGCATGTTCTGCCAGTGACAATAGCGATTTATGAGGACAGACTGATTGGGAAGAGCTGAGCTTCAGGTAATTCTCCAGTGACAGCTCCACACCTGAGGAGGGACACGTGTGCCCTGGGTTGAAGTGACAATCCAGGAGTTCACGGTCTCGCATAAGTTAGCAGTCACGGATGGAGCCCTGACAGCAGGCAGCGCTCAGTACCCCCTGCTCAGCGGGGAGCTGTCTCTGGTTTTGCATCCTAGCTGCACCAGCTGCGGGGCCTGGGCCTCAGTGATGCCGAGTTCCCTCACTTGTATTCAGAAATAAGTGGAGGGTGTGGGGTTTTTGCAGGGTTATAAATGACAGGCAACTCATCCTGCCAGAAGTGGGACTCAGCCAGCTTTCCAGTGCCTGTCACCAAGTTGGTACTCAGTAAATGTTTGTTAAATGAATAAATGATGAGGCAGAATTTGGATAAGCATATATAGTTAGTGGTTAGGAGCCGCAAGTTTGGGGTCAAGCAGTGAGTTTGGGGTTGAAAGAACGGATTGGAGTCTTGCGTGTTTTTAGGAAAGTTAAATGGTTGGGGGAATAGTCTGCGTCTTAAGAGTCAAAGGTTCAAATGTGCTCAGACGTGCAACATGCTTGGCCCAGGGCGTGGCACGCGGGAAGCTGCGTGTTCAGTATGATGATTATCACTTCAGGCGTGATGGAAGTGAAGGCCCTGGCACGCAGAGGCCTCAGCGAGGTGGGAGGTCTCAGTAGGTCAGACTGGACAGGTAGGTGGGCCCACTTGCAGGAGGTAGCTGAACCTTTTTTTTTTAATTCTCAGCCGAGGGCATTTTTCCCCCCATTGCTTTTCAGACCGAGTGGAAGGGAGAGAGAGGGAGAGAGAGAAACATCGATGTGGTGGAAACATCGATGTGGGAGAGATATATTGATTGGTTGCCTCCCGGGAGCACCCGGACTGGGACGGGGGATGGAGCCTGCATCTAAAGTACATGCCCTTGGCTGGAATTGAACAGAACCTGGGACCCTTCAGTCCGCAGGCAGACGCTCTAACCACTGAGCAAACTAGCTAGGTCTGTAGCTCAACCTTTAAAGCCACTTGGAGTGGCCCATCCTGACCCCTCTCAAATTCTGTAATCTCCACAGGCTCCTGGAATGGGACGGGGTTGTGGAGGGTAGGGTGAGTGGAAAAAAAGAGGCACCCCAAGAGGGAGGAAAAGAGCCAGCTTGGCCTTAGGACTTAAAAACTACTTAAACTGGCAAGCTTCTTTGTTTCAAATCAAGAAGCCCATTCCTGGTCCAGATGCTAGAAAGCAATTTCATGGAGTGCTTAAGTTACGCAGCTCAGACTGCCCAGCCCAGGAAGACCTGGCCACTATGCTTGGTGGGGAGGGCAGAAAAGGTGGATCCAGCCTCAGCTGGGGCCCAGGGACACTGGATGTGCTGCATAGCCCATTTCCTCCTACCCCAGACAACCTGAACATCACCCCACCCTGCTGAGCTTTTATGAAGCAGGAGGCACAAACTTTTCTCAGGTGGGAGCCATAAGCCAGGACACTGAGCAGGGTGTCCTGGGGCTGGGCCTGAGGCCAGCTCTGCAACAAAGAGGGGGACAATGAAGGCCACTCTCTGAGCCTTAATTACCTTCTCTTGCGAACTGAGGTGTTCAAGCTAGGAGAGTGATGACTCTTGAAGGTCCCCTGGGGGAAGGGGAAGGGATCTGATATTTATTGCACTCCTAAAAGCATTGCCTTTACACAATTAATCCCCAGGCAGGCATTATTGTACTCTGTTTATAGGAATATCAGGTGCAAAGCCCTTAGCAAGGTTTTACAGATGAAGGAACAAGTTCAGAGAGCTGAGGACTCTGCCAAGGTCATCCATGGCAAAGAGCTGTGGGGATTCAGACTTGGGTCCATCTGATTCCAACTCCAAGAGCCTTTCCCTGCAGTCAGTTCAGCCCTTCACCCCTCTACCACAGCGGTGTGCAGCTGTGGACTTTACTTTTACTTTTACTTCACTTTTACTTTTCAAGTACCTGGAACCCTGCCCAACACTCTGATAAGTCCAAGGAGGGAAGAGCAGTGGGGCAAGGACAAGGATGGGAAACGTGAATGGAAGAAATTCACATGCTTGGCATCTCCAGGCAGGAGAGGTGTGGTCCCAGTGTGACCAGGCCAGTCCTGGGGAGCTTAGCAGGCTTGAGGCTGGGCTGTCCAACCCCTAACTCCCTGATGGCTCTGAGGCCAGCATCAGTCCATGCCTTCCTCCCAAGTTGCTTGGCTGAGGCCAGTTGTCCACATTTAAGGCCTCCTTCAGGAAACCTTCTCTACCCCACTGACGTTTCTGCCCCACTAAGTCCACTCATCCATCATACTGATTAAGCGCATGCTCCACACCAGCCCCTCGGCAGGCCACTGGGGCTAGAGATGGGCATAGAGATGCGTACAACAGGTCCCAGCCCCCCGTGTGATCTTGGCTGGGTGTGGGGCTGGGGGTTCATGCTGCAGACTGGGCTTCCCTCAGCTGTGGGTGGGATCTAGGCATCTGTACTTTTAGCAAACCATGCAGGTGACTGAGGAGGAACACCCAGGTGAGAGACCCTTTGGTCTTTGAATCCGGCCTCCAGCACTGCCTTCTTTGGGCTGCCACATCCTCTGAGAACATGCCTCTTTCCCACTACTAGGCTCCTCCCGGCGCCAAGTCAGGCTGTGGTCAAATCCTCTTCTACAACTTGCTACCCTTGGACCCCTGCAAAACGCCCATGCTCTCCAAGGCCCGTTTCCCCATCTTTAACTAGATAATGGTGCCTCCCGTTCTGGGGATTAACTGGGATAGTGTGTGCAAAGCAAGCTGCCTGGCACAGATAAATGCATAATAAATGTCTGCTATTAATTATATCACTCTGCATGCTGAAGGACAGAAATACTTCCCTGGGGGTATTTCAAGAACCCCCACTTCTGGATCCCGTCTCAGAGGTGGCCCTGGACACATGGGAGGCCTCTCAGTGCCCTCTGCCAGGGCTCCTGCAAGGACCTGCCTTAGTTTTCAGTGCAGATCCCGCCCGGCCTCCTAGCCCCTGAACATCCCGGGGTGGGCAAAAGCAGATTTACAGTTTTGAGTACCCAAAATAGAGTTTATTCTTATATTGTTATTTGTTAATTATTGTATTATTTGTATTACACCCCTGTATTAGCTTAGCATACCCTTCCCTTCATTTACCCAGAGTGACCAAAGTTCCAACCACACCTCTTTGGGCAGCGACCCCAAATTTCAGGGAAATGAACAGGAAAAGGTAAGTTTGCCAGTCAAGGCCTCTTCCTGACCAAGGTGGGGCGGCTACGACCCCGACGCCTCGGCGGCCAGGGCAGCGAACTGGCTGCTGGACCCCGCGAGGAAGCGCTCGCCCGCGGCTCCCGGCCCCGCCTGCC